GAGGAAGGGAGTGGGCGTCCCTGTGCGAGGCCCTTGGAAGCAGCGTGTACGCTCCTAGTAAATTAAAGGCCGGTGAGGGGGTTAATAACAAAAGCATTGTGGCTGCAAAGCCTCTGGAGAAGCTGTTTCAAAATGGTCTTGTAGTGAAACTTTACCTGAATTCTATCCACATCGTGTCACTTCTCCATAGTTTACTTAGGAGGAGGTGTTTAAGGTCAGGTTTGATGGAGCTTGCTCCTGCTCTAGTGGAAGGTGTCTCTGTCCATAGCAGGGGGTGGGAACTGGATGAGCTTTAAGGTGCCTTCCAACAGAAACCATTCTATGGTTCTGACTTACCTGCAGTAGCCATGCTCCTTGTATTTAATCTTATGGTGTTTACTGTGGGTTTTATTTTCTTACTACTTGGAAACCTTTGAGGTTAGAAATAGGCATGAAGACTAAGCCTGCAGGTAGGTAATTTTGTAGCATGCACTGCAATAAAACTGCTCCAAGCCGCTGTTTAAGTTATCCTTTACCTACAGCATCCAGGTGATTCAGTGAGCCTTGCATGTCCTTTGCTGAATGCTCTTATGGCTTGAGAATTGTTGTAGGGGGCACGTTAGTCCATGGCATACAGATGTGAAAAGAGGCTTCAGTTTTGTGCTATGACACACAGTTGAACCAGATTTCATGTGAAAAGGTCATAGAATAGTTAGGGTTGGAAAGGACCCTGAGATCATCTAGTTCCAACCCCCTGCCTCTTTCCAGCCTTGTACTCAGATGAGAATAATTCTCTGCATTTACCTTTTTTTTTTGTAGTTGGAACTGCTTAGCCTTTGGTACTGGCAGGGCCTGTTTGTTTGTGTACATGCAAGTCTTCAGCACAGCGGGATCACAAATTTAGATGAAGATTAGTAACAGAAGAGAGTGGTCCCCAAAATACAACAGTGTTGTGATGTTACCACAGGTCTTCTAACTCTGGGAGGGCAGTAGTGTGTAATAATTGGCTCCTCACTGTTTCAAGTGTCTGTGGCTGTGTGCTGCTTGTGGAAAATACCTTTTCATATTGTATTTTCAGCTTTTGCCTCAGTCTTGCTTCCCTGGACGTTAGTAGGTGTGCTTAACTTAAAACCCACCTAGCTTAAGATCACTTTCTGTAGTGTCTGAGAAAGATGGAACAAGAGAGATACTGAAATAAGTGTATTGTTCCCTGACTAAGGGCTATGGCAGTTGAGGACTCGGTTGATTTGTTTTTTTTGTTTGTTTAGCATCTCATGAGCACAAGTTAAACTTCAAGAAGAGCAAGGAAGCGTGTTTAAGTTACATTCAGGATGCCATGCTACAGAAGCAGTGGAAAAGGGCTGCAGAGTTTCTGACCTTCTATATTGAGTCACTAGAGAAGGATTATTCCAGAGAACACGTGGGTCCATCAGAGGTAAGCTGGGCAACTTCTGTAACCTAAGCTAGCTTTTTCAAATAAATAAATAAATAAATGATAGACTTCAAAGCTTCCAAACCCAAATAAGCAATTATTCAGGTGCTGATGTATAAACTCATGAATGGACGGCTGTAGGAAGTACCCTTGCCCCTATCCAGTGCTCCAGGCAGCATGCTGTCCAGTTACCACAAGCCTGCCTCTGCACAGGTGTGTCTTTGTTGTGGGTTTAACCAGTCTTGCTGGAGCTGCAGTTGTGCTGAAGTCTCACTTTTAGGGGTGCTGAGAATCTGCAGGGCTGTCTGATGTTTTTCCTGACAGAGGAAAAAAGGCCTGACTTGGTATAAGCTAATGCCATCAGGAGCGCATCTATGAAAAGTCATCTTAAAAGGAGTCCTCTAAACCAGAAAAGCAGTAAATGTTTGCCATTAGCATGCCATCAGACAGCATCTCTTTGAAAGTTAGTGGCTTATTTAGGGCTTTACCAGCTCCTCCAGTACTTGCAAACCTCTTGGAAGGTACTGACATAAGAGCAGGAGGAAAGAGATCAGAGCCTTAAGCAGACTGAGTACTCAAATATGGCTAGTCTGCTGGAGTATTTGGGTACATTGTGTAGACAGGCTTTGAACACAAGTGCATGTGGATGGGAAATTACATCCAATTGGAAATAATCTTTATTACTAAGTTGAAAGAATTATGTAAACCTCACATCTTGGTGGAATCCTATCAAAGGAAAACACAACTTTTTAGTAAAAGGAGAGGGATCCTTCTGACAACTGCAGTTCTTACTAGCTTTGCTGGAGTGCTACATTTGTAATGAGCAACTGTGAAGCACCCTCTGAAGGACTGTAAAAGCCCTACTAGATGAATATATAGGTTACTATAGCAGTAGGTAATGCTTAGTATTACTTGCAATTCAAATGTGCATCTTTTTCATGTGCTACAGTAACTGTAAGTTTGAGAACACTGCATATGTGATGACTGTTGCCACTTTTGTACTAAGGTTATTTCTGAATCTCTCTTCCCGTTACTAGATGATTTGGAGAATAGGAACTGAAATTTTGTGCCATCATTCCCATAGCAACATAAAAGAGTTCAACTCTTTCATGGAACAGATGAAGACTTTAGGAATAAAAAGGTATTTGAAGGTGAGCATAACTTAATGCAGTCATGAGGATTTTTCATGTTTAGCTGAACGCTTACTTGAGTATTAGTTTCTGAATCTCTCTTCTGAAATATATTGCTGATAATAGTGTCAAAACCAAAAGATAACACATCTGAGTTACCAATTGCATGATATTTTGAGGATTATTCTATGCCTAACCATGTTTCATTTGATCACAGCTGTGTATTGTCAGTCCTTAGAAGTGCTTAGATCCTTTAATCTTTTAATTTGAAATGGTTTTCATGCATGCCTCCAGTAACATCAAATTACACTCTAACATCTGCTAAGCCTAGTTTCTTGTCCTTAATTTTGGTCACTGCTCTTGGCTAAACAGCTATGCTTAAATTTTGCCATTGTTACCCATTAACTTTCAAGTAGCTAATCTATATACGAAGCAGCAGACTTTCTACTGTGGACCTTGTGTCACCCAGCTATACAGCTGTATTTTTCTTTTTAACTCTGTGGTGGCTCATTCAAACCTACACTGTTTTGGTTTCCTTGACTGTTTCTTACATGTGATGAAGCTTCATTCTGTTGTATTTGTTCAAGGCCTTCAACTGAAGCTCTGTACAAGAGTTTACTAGAGCTAACTAGAGGTTTAAACTTCTATCCAGTGCCTAATGAACATAATAGGGTGGGAAGACACCCCTCTTTCAGGTGTTCTGCACTTGGGTAACCAAATAGAAGATCAGCAAAGGCAACTGGATTCCCTCAGGTCATTTCTGGATCTTAAATAGGTACAGCACTTGCTAATAACAGGCAGGTTTTTGAGACAATTGCATTCTATTGTCTGCTGCCTGATGGGTGACTTCTGCCCCATGGATTTCAAGAGCTTTAGCTCTTAATCTGAGAGGTAGAAATCATCTGTATATGAAATGCACTTTTAATTACTAATGTTTCTCCAGCATCTTCAGACAGGAAACATTACTTAGGTTCTTGGCTCATTTCCCTGGCCCCAGTGATTCTCCCATTCC